GAATAGGAAAGTGGCACTGTGCAGGGTCCATATATACAGAATACAAATAGATGCTGAAAATTATACTCGGCTCAGAGACTAAGAGAAGTGGTATGGTGCAGGGTACAGGGTGCTTACCTGTTGCCTACTGCGTGCAGACCTCTAATCAGTGCTGGCACATACAAAGAGGAGATTTGTTATGTGCTTCCCATGCGGTTCTTTGCACAGATAAACTGTTTTGCTATGAAATTAAATCTTGATTTACATGGGGGTAAATTCCTCTAGTGAAAACAGAAGGTCCAATATGTTTCAATACTACATAAGAGTTTTTTGTGATGGTAATTACCAAACAATATTTGTAACTAATCATTCTTTATTTTTCCTTTCAGAATGGATTCCTGTCTTCTGCAGTAGCGTCAGTACACAGAATATTACAAGATGGTAAATCTCTGTTCATAAAATGTGCCAGTAATGTGCAATACTTGATTGGTCACTTACCTGTGTTGTGCTATTTTCCCGCTAGATCCGAATAGCAGCTTTAAATGCCACTTCTGCTGTGGAAGAAGAACACGAAGAAACTTTCAAAAGTCACAAAACACAGACAAAGGAAGCTCAGGTGATGAAAGTACAAGTGCAGTGAATGGTCCATAGTGCAATCAACACATCATATAACTCTATCCCTTTCATCAATTATCTTTGTAGGAAGCTGAGGCATTTGCACTTTATCACAAAGCCTTGGACCTGCAGAAGCTTGACCGTTATGATGAATCTTCACAGGCCTATCACCAGCTGCTTGACACCCGTCTTTTACAGGAAGTGAGTATATTTTGCTCTTGGTGCTATACCATTTAATGTTAGAGTTCACATGGATCAACAGGGCATGCCGCTGTCTTCATTTACTGTGCATGCGATCACTCCAGACTCCAATGAGGGCACAGGGTGACAAAAGGGAGAGAAGCAGACACGCAGGAAAGAATTTAATGTTGCTAAGGAGATTGTGTGGAAGGTTGCCACACTGGTAAGGGTAGCTATGAGAAACGGGTAGCATGAACCATGAGGATGTTATGCTGTTGTGTGTGTAGGAACCCTTTAGTATTGCTGACAGAAAAACAGGAGGTGCCCTTCTGCGAAGGAGAGCAAGGCGGGAGGAGGAGGTGCAGCACTGTTGAAGAGGAAGATTGAGTATGCTCATCGAGGGTGTAAAGCTAACGGTGTATGAGAAGCCTCCTGAGCTTGACAGGAAACTGGGAGTGCTCTTCTTTTGTTATATTATATAGTGTCTCATTATACATGGCTGTAAAATGTTTTGGGTATGACCATGCTGCTCTTGTCTGAAGTGCGAAAATGCTCCAAAGGGGTACTGCAGTCTGTGCTAAATAAAAAATATGTGTTGTGCAGTTTCTTACTTTGGTGTTAAGCTGACCATACAATGGTAGATTTTTGTATGAACGCTGATATGAAAAAGTCAGAACATTCAAAAATGCCAAATTTTGTTCAATTTTAACTTTCGATCTATTCATACGCTGTTAGAATTTCATTTGTTTTGAGACACATTTTTCATCACTACGCTCGAAAAAATGTTCAATTTGTCCCTATTAACAATTAGTAAGTTGAACGAACTTTCAGAAAATGATTTTGTTTCCAATGAAACTCTACTGGTGTGTGGCCAGCTTTATACAGTATCCCCTTCCTACATAGAAACTTTCTAGACAAATGAAGCTTGCGGAAGGAAGTGAGGTATGGTCATACTGGATCCATTGGGTCTAAACATAAGGACATTTTTTATTGGTATCTGTGAGCATGCTAGTAGGTTTCTCATTAAAAAGAATGGATCAGTATGCTGTTTAACTTCCAGGAATTGTATACATTTTCTACCAAGCCCTGTCAATGGTTTGCTTAGCTGCCAATAACATGAAAAGTGTTCAATTTGAATTGATGTTTAAGGGAGGTTGTAGATGTTTGTATTGTTTTCTATAAATATATTACATATAACTTTGTTCTGTATTTTCAGGCTGTCCCGGTGACCGATGAAAAGGAAGGTCTGAAACATCCTGGTTTGATGCTTAAGTATTCAACATATAAGAATCTGGCACAACTTGCAACGAAAAGGGAAGATTTGGAAACTGCAATGGAATATAACCTAGAGGTGCAAAAGACATAATTTTAGAATATGTATATGTATAAAACAGTTTAGGCTCTGTGTACTAAGAGGAGGGTTAGTTTACTCCTTTATTTCCCTCCTTCCTTTACCTCCCTGAAATGTTTCCTTCACAAGTATAAATAACTCTTATGATCCCTTCCAGCTGCTAGAGCGGTCTCCGCAGCTTCTTCTCTCCCTAGCTCTGGCAGTCTACAGACCGCTGACATCATTGCATCTAATGCAGGTTCCATAGACCTGCATTAACGAGGGACATTCCACCAGCCCTAGCGGGGGGGAAGGAGGTGAGCAGTGCAAGGGTAGTTTTTTGGATTGCTTGGAGATGTGCTTCAAAGTTGACAGTATTAGAATAGTAGTAGTAATGTAAAATACCACTGCTTTCAGAGCAGGCTAAGTAAAGCACACTGGGGGGAGTTGACCAAAACGGTTAAGACTGAATCTGGTGCAGTAGCCCGTGGCAACCAATCAGCTTCCCTCTTCAGTTTGTTCAGTTAAGCTTTGAAAATTAAAGAGAGAAACTGGTTGTGATGGGCAACTGCTGCAGATTCGGCATGCACCAGATTTGTTAAATTCCCTCAATTATGTCCCTTTGTGAATTGAGCCTTTAGAGCAGGGGTGGGCAAACTCTGACCCTCCAAATGTTGTGGAACTACAAATCCCGTGAGCAAGGTTCTCACAGGCATGACTCCCGGAGACATATGCATGATGGGATTTGTAGTTTTACCATAGCTGTGGGGCTGGACTTTGCCCAACCCTGTTTTAGTGATAACTCTGTTTTAAAACCACACATTGTGAACTAATTACATTCACAGAAATTATCTGTGCTTCTTCTAACATGCCAAACTGGCGTTTTATGGGCAACATGCAACCCTCTAACTCCTTCTCTGCCGTCTCCAGAGGTTTTAGAGTGTACAAATATACCCCCAGCTCTTCTGCATTTGATAAGTTACCATTTCTTACATAATTGTGCTGCTAAATAATTGAGTAAATGTTTTATGGCCTCTCACTAGGATTAAATATTGTAGGTTGCAGTCAATAGTAGACATAATGCAGCCCATTTGAAGATTTGGCCTTCTCAATTCTGCTCACTGTTTTATGTGAGTTGGAAATGCCCGTTCCAGAGGTAATGTGCTGAAAGTAATGCCACTGATGACATCCGTTTCAAAAAATGCTGTATGTTAATAAAGCTAATCAATATTTTCTGAGCCACTGACAGGAGGAAGTGAAAAAATGTCTGTTTTCAAAAACAAAATAATAAAGGGCTTATTCCTTTTGAGGTGATAGCTTATTTACTTTTAGATAAAGGGGTTCATTTATAAAAGTTCTGTCAGTTCGCACAGCACTAATGCCCCTAGAGGGCACCGATGGGTATCTACAGTGAGCTTTATGCCAGGCGCAAACACACAACCATGTGTGGTTGTCTCATTCACTCCTTCACATCTTGAATCTCTTGGGGACTCGAGCACTGAGATCTCTATATTTCCTGACCCACCTTGATGTTCTGAGTGTTTCAACCTACCTTAAAGTAGTATTAAAGGCTGGGAGTTTTTTGCCTTAATGCATTCTGTGCATTATGCGAAAAAAACACCCATAAATCTCCTAATCCC